GACAGACCTTCCCTAAGCCTCAGCTAGGTACTAGCAGTAGGACGTTGTGAGCTCTTGGTGGGATAAGGGCTGCCATGAAAGCACAGAGGTGATGGCGCACATCCGCATATTACCTCGATATTGGTGCTGCACATAACAAAATTCATTCCACACATGGATGGAAAAAATTTGAGGGAACACTGGTTCCATGCTCTTTCCCCCTCTCCCCGTAAGGCTGGGAGGTGGAGGGGGGATAGGAGGCTCTGCAAGCCACACTTTAACTGTAAAAGAGCCACATGCACCTCGCGAGCCATGGTTTGGCCACCCAGGGATTTCCCTACACCTCCCCTGAATTTCCCCATCATCCCCCCAGTGGTCAACTACTTACATGCAATGTTGGCAATGTAATCATTGATTGGAAATTTGAATTGAAATTGAAATATTAATACACACTTTAAAAGGATATACAGTATATGAGAAAATACTAGTACCCGAGAAAGCATAATAGGTTTACAAAGTATGAACACTAGCTTCCTCACACAACTGTTGTTTTTTATGACAATGTCTGGGCATTCATTTTGGCAATGTTGGCCAACCTAATAATTTCAAATTATGATTTGCAAGCAAGATCTGAAGAAGCTCTTTCCTGACAGCTAGTGATAAGCCAACGGAGGGGAGCGTGGAGGGGGAAAGGCTTCAGGACCAGACTGTATCCAGCAGACAGAGTTGTGTTACCCAAGTGATCAATTTTGGCTGGTGTTGGATTACAAAACACTTTAGTAATGACTGGAGAATTGTATTGGCTGTCACTGGACGTGGTGCGAGGAATGCCAGGAGCTGGGAATCCTGGTGCCACAGGTAAAGAATGCAAAGCACACAATCATCACTCCAAGAGCTAGAACCATGCTGGAGAGGACCTCGAAGGATGCCAACTGCTGCCAGTACGTGGAAAACCTGAAACAGAAGCCGGATCAGGGCAAGGCGTTCAAGGTGATGTGCAAGTGGGACGCCAGCAATCGCTTCCTCCCCGGGGGCAGCTTCACCCACTTTGCCGACTGGAGGTTCATTCACAGGGCCCGGCTCAACTGCATGCCACTGAACGGAGCCGTCTGCCATGGGAATTGGGACAAGCGATGCAGGAAGTGCAGCTATGCCAAAGAGATGCTACCCCATGTCCCGTGTAGCTGCAAGCCCCGTTCCAGAGCCTGGTAGCTGTAACATAATGCAATCCAACATTGCCTAGTCAGAACCATCCTGCAACCCGTAAGGAAGGTGGCCGTGAAGGTCCGACAGCCAACTGTGACCAGACATCGTCATCACCAACTAGGGCCAGAAGAAGATCATGATGATGGACATCACAGTGCCCTTTGAGAAGAGGACCCCAACCTTCAACGAGGCTTGAGCTCAAAAGGTGGAGAAGTACGCCTCTCTGGCTGACATCTTGAGAGCTAAGAGTTACCAGGTGCAGACACGCACGCTGATCGTTGGAGCCCTGGGCACATGGAGCCCCAGTAATGAGTGAGTGTTGCGAGAATGCAGAATCTGCAACGTTACGCTTGGCTGATGCGGCAACTCATGGTGTCGGATGCCATCAGGTGATCGAGGGACATCTCCATAAAACACATCACTGGACATCGGCAATACCAGGAGAGATGAGCTGGAGTGCCAATGAGAAGCAAAATTGGAAAGTAACAGAAATACTTCTCTGATGGATTATATCTACTAAGGGACAACCCATCCTAAATGCTCAATTACTGAGGGACAATTTACACTCATTCCTATATTTGCTTTCAACAACTAACTTTCTGTATAAGTGATGTACCCAAGTATTCGGATTCTAATATCTAAACTGTATTGTTAAATTTATCTAAATTTAGGTTATTGCAGATTATGTACTATATGTATTGTGACAGACCCAGACCAGTGGGGTACAGGAGTCTGGTAGAGGGCAAATATGCTGGTCACTGGATGAGTAGTTTTCTGTTCCCTGAGTGACCAGAGCAGGGGCTGCACTAGAGTAATCAGGAACCTGCTAGAACCAGTTAAGGCAGGCAGGCTAATTAGGACATCTGGAGCCAATTAAGAAGAAGCTGCTAGAATCAATTAAGGCATGCTAATCAGGGCCCCTGAGTTTTAAAAGGAGCTCACTTCAGTTTGTGGTGTGAGTGTGAGGAGCTGGGAGCAAGATGCGCAAGGAACTGAGAGTGAGAGGGTGTGCTGCTGGAGGACTGAGGAGCATAAGCGTTATCAGACACCAGGAGGAAGGTCCTGTGATGAAAATAAGGAAGGTGTTTGGAGGAGGCCATGGGGAAGTAGCCCAGGGAGTTGTAGTTGTCATGCAGCTGTTACAGGAGGCACTATAGACAGCTGCAGTCCACAGGACCCTGGGCTGGAACCCGGAGTCGAGGGCGGGCCCGGGTTCCTCCCAAACCTCCCAATTGACCTGGACTGTGGGTTCTTCTAGAGGGGAAGGTCTCTGGGCTGTTCCCCAACCCACATGGTGAATCTCTGAGGCAAGAAAATCCACCAATAAGCGCAGGATCCACCAAGATAGAGGAGGAACTATGTCACAGTATCTTATGAGTTTTTAAACAAACTTTGTATTTGTGGATAATCTAAGCACTATACCCAGATGTACAGACAGTCTTTTCTCAACCTGTGTATTATATAATTTTAACAGTAGCCTTAACAAAAAATTTAAATCTGTTGATTGCAGGGGTAATGAAATGTTATCCTTATGTCTGAGTAAAGGGCAGCAGAACTGTGCTTAGCCTGTCCTGATTGAGGGGGTCACCCTCAGGGCTTAATTTGTGCCAGGGCTTGTCAGGGTTGAGCCCTGGCATCTCTAGGCTTGGCAGTTTATTGCCCCAGGACCTCTGGTCTTGCCACATCCGTTATGAAAGTAAAAAACTTGCTTAAGCTCTGGCACCTCTTTCATTACAAATTAGTCACCCACAATTGAACTGCAGTTGCTAAGCACGGGGGGGTTGCATGCCAGATCCCAGTGGACAGAGAAAGAGAGAGAGATAGGGTGGGGGACAAGTGTTTTGCTTGCGAACGTGGGCTCCACCTAAGAGTCACAGGCACTATTTGACATGTACCTTCCCCCCCAACCCTCCGCCATTTAAAGATAGAGCTGATTAAGCTCCATAGAGAGTATTTTGTCTTTGTAAGTGACCACTAGAGCTGAAATCACTGATAATCAGGTATAAGTGCTTAGACCAGCTGCTAGACAGTGTTTCTGTAGAAGACATTGCTGGCCCAGCCTGTACTCAGAGGTTTCCCAGCTGAGAGGTGAAATCACTGAGAGCTGGGTGGAACCTCAAGAGACTGACTTGCAGAGGTCACAGTGGCAGGTGGCAGCAGAAGGTGATGGTGCAGGCCATTGGCAATGGAGCGGTGGCACGACAAACAACAGCAGCCAGAGCCAGGGGCTGGAGCAAGTGGTGAGTGGCTGGAGGAACAAGCAAGGTGTCTTCTCTCCCCCACCCTTTAAGTTGGGAGGTGAACTCACGTGAAAACTCCTCTGTACTTTGCGTCTCCGATGACCAAAGACGACAATTATGAGTGGGGTGCAGTGGAGGAGAAAGGGAGGGGCACATTAAAGGAACATTTGTTTGTTGGACTACATATTAGTGACTTTGCTCCAGAAAGCTAGATTTGTGACTGGGAAACTTATATAAATATACATTTCCTAGTAGGCCAAGATGTTTAAAATGCATTATTTGCCAAGGTTGTTATTTCACATCATCGCTATCTTGAGAAGTCATTATTTTGGGGAGCTTCTGTACTAAACTTTTTTTTATTATATTATAATTAAAGAACGGGCAAATTGGGTCAGACCAATGGTCCATCTAAGCCAGTATCCTGTCTGCTGAGAGTGGCCAATGCCAGGTACTTCAGAGGGAATGAACAGAACAGGCAATCATTGAGTGATCCATCCCCTGACATCCACGCCCAGCTGAAAAAGTACACAGACTTGATTCTTACAATGCTACAACAGCGTCTTCTGGATTCTATTCAACCTCTATGTAGCTTTTACTGATGCCTGTTTTATGACACACTGACAGTTGAATGGAGTGAGACGCTACCAGCAATGGGGCTGCTATGTGGTCAGGACAGAATAGAGAATTTGAACACAGAGTGGAATATCATATGGCAAACAAATGAAGATTTGACTTCAACTTCTTCTTTATTATCACTAGTGGTTTGACCCAATATTTGTGCTGTTTCCTGGGATGAAAGAAGTAGGAATTCATCTCTTGCTACTCCCAGTCACAACAGCTATAGTTGATTGTTCTTTTTCCTCATTGAATATAATTTTGTGTTCTGAAAGAAGTTGCCTTCTGCCTGATTATGAGCATATGAAGGACTGGAAGTACTGGACACACAAGAAGCCACCAAAGATGAATGCACTGCATTCAAGTAGTTTAGGGTTACCATATTTTGCGTGTCCAAAAAGAGGACTCTCCACGGGGCCCCGCCCATGCCCCCCGCCCCAACTCCACCCCTTCCCCAAAGTCTCCGCCCCCTCCCCTGCTTCCCGCGAACATTTGATTCACGGGAAGCCTGAAGCAGGCAGCAGGTAAGCTGGGGGGGTTGGGGGAGGAGGCGCGGCCCAGTCTCCAGTCAACCGAGCGGCTCCCTCCGGCGGCCGGCCCTGGCCCCAGCGTCTCCAGCCTGGCTCGGCTCCTGGGGTGCCGGCCCCGGGCCAGCCCCCAGCCAAGCACCTCCGGCCCCCGACCCGGCCCCACCCCGGGCCCCGCACCCCCAGGCCAGCTCCCGGCCCCGCACCCCCGGACCAGCCCCCAGCCGAGCACCCCCGGCCCAGCACCCAGCGGCGCCGGCCCCCTCCCTATTTTCCCGGACATGTTCGGCTTTTTAGGATTTCCCCCCGGACGGGGATTTGAGGCCCAAAAAGCCGGGCATGTCCGGGAAAATCCGGACGTATGGTAACCCTAAAGTAGTTCATTAACAGAGTTGTGCAAAATTACAACAAGAAACCAATAAGGATGTAGATGTAGTGATTCATAGAAGGCTTGAGTAGCCAACTTTAATATTTGTGATGATTTTAAAACATGATTGAATCTAATAAAATGGTTGTGAAACATTTTTCAGTTTTTATTATGGTGCCATACAGCCCACCTTCACCCTCATGGTCTCATCCCTCTTTGGCCTTCACCCCACCTTGTATATTTGAACACCCTTCCTAATTTCAATTCCTGGAGAAAACACCTTCACAACTCCTGGTCTAAGTGCTATCTCTGAGAAGTCTCTTTTGAATATGGTTCCTGGAAGTGTGTATTCCTTTCATGGGCCATCAGCAAGTCTGACTCCTCCATTGTTGCAGCTGAAAGGCTGGTTGTGGGTGTTCCCAACCTTACAACATATTGCAGTAACACACACACAGCAAAACTGCATAACTTCCCATACAATGATAGCACATACTATCCAACAGGATATTAATGTTCAACAGATCAAGCCTTTTAAAATAATAGCTCAAGGCATACTTTGTACCAAACAGATCATAATTATATGGCAGTAGTGAATATGGGGGTTCCAAGGTGCTGCTTTGAAGCACAGCATGCTACACCTCAGAGAACCCATGCCAGGTTTTATACTCAGCCCAGTGCATGATTGGGGACAGTAAAACACCTAGATTAAATTTGTCCCTATCAAGTCTCAGTGCCTGTATTTAAAGGGTCCCAGTTGCCAGGACACAGGGTCTGCTGCTAGTGCAGAATCTACTGTGGAGAAGCTCTGGGGCCCAGCTGGCCTCATGAGCCAATGATGCTCTGGAACCCTCCAGACTCAAGAGGAAATTCAATATGAAAATAAGCAAATTCCCCTTCATACAATTTCCACTTTGCTGGATTCTAGCTCATGAACAAAGGTTGAGTTCACCCACGCAGATGCTAATCGCTGTACCGGGAAGGAAAGCGAAAGCAGGGGCGGAAAAAAACAAGCTTTCCACAGCTTCTCACCTGCCACAGGAACAGCTTCAAGCACACTAGGGACGGCAAGTAATGAAACCTCACATAAGCCTCCCTCAGTGGTGCTATCCCTATTTAAAACCTGGTGAAACTGAGACAGCAAGAGGGTAAGTCACCAGGAAGTCTGTGGCAGACTCAGGCATAGAACCTATGGATCTGATTTGCCATCATCCTTTACCTCTTACAGTCACTTACACCTATGAAAAGTGGATGTAAATTGCTACCATTTGGATTTTTTATAACCCAGGTGCAGGGTAATGAAGAATTGAATCCAAAGTGTCTCGACTCTCAGATCCCTACTTTAACCACTGGACTGCACAGCCTCCCACTGCAAGTGCAGAGCTCTTGCACCATACCCTCTGTAAGTCTCGCCTTAACAACATGCACCAGCACCCAGACAAAGATGGTGTGAGATTTCTCTTACTGCTGAGCGGGAAGGAAAGACAGGCAGCTGCTACAGCTTCTGCAATCTGCTTTGAAATGAAATAATTCACATGGGAGTGACTCCATGAAAGTAATCACAAGTTAAAGTAAAACGAGTAAGAGAAATAGTGAGGCCAGAACCTCAGCTGGTAAAGCTTTAAGCTCAGTGCTAGTGCTAGGCATAAGTAGACTAAGCAATTGCTTTGGGTCCTGAGCAGCTCAAGGGGCTCTGCTATTAATTATTAGCATGTGTTGTGGAGGATCCCCCTGAATATTCCTGCTTAGGGCCACCAATGGGCTAACACCAGCACTGTCTAGGCCGCCCTCCCCCGCCCACTATCAGGATGTGTAAGGTCAACCCACTCTCTGGGCCCCCTCCGCTTCAAGCACAGAGTCTAGGTTTGCTCACTGCTAACACACTGCATTTCTGTTGTGCTAGTTGGATGATTCTCTCCCTCCCCTTCCCCCCATGTTCCCATCAGGCCTGGTCTATGACATCTGATTGGTGCCATGGGCCCCCTCTCCAGCCGATCCTTGACATTTCAGAGAATTGATGCATCACCGTCAGAGCTGTGGTGCGTATACATGAGGTCTGAAGGGGCAGGAAGCATAAAACGGAGACTGGGGTATGGGGATTGTGGCTCTGAAGAGTGAGTCAGCTCCTAACCTGCTCACACAGCAGTAGGAAACCCCAGCAGCACTGCCAGCTCAGAGTGCTCTGCATTCTCTGAAATGGACAAAGCCTCTGCTTTTAGCCCCTTTCCGCTTGTTGGTTACTGTGAGATCACTGGTGGGAGCAAAGGTCATGAGTGCTGGATTCCGATGCTCTTGAGAACAGAGCTCAAAACGATGGAACGAGAGGACAGATCCAAGTGTTGCCAACACACTAGAAGTCCATGAGCAATATGTTGCATTTGATTCCTTCGTGCCTACCCTGAACCTGACACTCAGTGATAGTGTCACCAGTCATGACTTGTCTGATCTCCCTGCTGCCATACCCCACCCATCGCTCTCTGGGGTGTATGGCTAACAGTGCCATACCCTGACTTGCCTTTCTGTACTATAGGGTGCTGGTATCAAATGCTGACCTGTCTCTGTGATAGGTTCAATGGAGTGCTCTCTCTCTCTCTCTCTCTGCAATAGGATTGCCCAGTGCCACCCCTCCTTCTATAATAGAGTCCCCACAGTTGCATCCTGTCATTATCTGTCTCTCTGTGGTGCAAGGATGTTGTCCCCACTCATTCTGTAAACTGCACTGGTCAATATCTGCACTGGCTCCTGCTCTTCAGATCCAATGAAAACCCCATCGAGATCAAAAAAATTAAAGATAAATCCCAGAGAAAGTCTAAACACTGAGTGAAGCCTGATTTCTGCACTGACTGTGGTGGAAACTCACTCAGCACAGAAATGTATTATTTAAAACTTCCCAGCTCTGAAATCTGGGTGCGCTGAAGCTATCCAGGAGCCTGCAATATCAGCCACACCAGCTCTCTGGGTGCCCAATGTATTGCTTGCAACTTTGAGTGCCCTGAAATTTGTGTGTGTGGTTTTGAAAACTTGGTCTTTAATGTTATAATTGCTCTCCTGCCCCACCCCATCTCACCCCTTCTCTCTCAGTTAGTCTTTTTATCTATTTGTATTTATAGTCCCCTTAAAACTAGGTCAAGTTACCACATGTGATGGCCAGCATGGAAACCACATTTGTTCACAGCAGCAATTCTAGCATTTGGGAAGACAAGCTGAGGAAGCCTGTGGGCAGATCTCTGGGCCCCCCGTGGTCAGCACAAGCTGCATTCAGCATAGCCAAGTCCTTCCAATGAGCAGGCTAAAAGAAACAAAGAAACAATCTTGTTTCCATTGCAGGTTGCTGTATCACCGAGAAATCCCAGGCCGAAGAAACCTCCCTGAATGTTTCTCCCTCCAGCCAATCTACAAAACCTACCCAGCCACTTCAGCGATTTGGCCCAATGTCCCAGAATTTCCTGCCCAAGTGCAGCAAACCTAATCAGCCTTGCACTGCTCACTGTGAAGAGAGGGCTGCCCACTATCCCCAGCCAAATAGCAGACACCACTCTCTTGAGAACTCCGTTCAGCATTACCTGCAGACAGCCAGTGCTTAAAGTAGACAGGGTTGCCAGGGGTCCTGGAACCAGCACCTCTCTGAGAGGTGAAAGAATCCTTCCATTCACTTAATTGCTTCTACAGTGTGGATTAGATGGACCTCACTACATTGCACAGAGTGCAACATTTTTCACAGCCCTGAATGATGTAGCTAGGTCAAGCTAATTTTTAGGTGTAGACTTGGCCTTACTCATATGAGTAGTCCCATTGGAATTAGGTCACCCTTGTGAATAGGGGGTTTACAGTCTGGCCGAGAGCCATTATTCTTTTCCTCCTCAGTGCTAGGAGTGCAAAGGAGATTGTTTTGGCTGACATGCCTTGAAACAGGAAAAAGGATGGAAAGCTAGAAGGAAGGGATCCATGGCAGTTAGGAATGAGAGCTGAGTTCTGCAAACAGGAAATGAGATGATATAAGGCAGGTTTAGGACTACTAAAGGTTTGGAACTGACTCTCTCTGGCTAATGAGAAAAGCTGCTCTCTAGAGGTCCCTCTGGGATACTGGCAAAATGACTGATGTTACTTATGATTCTTCTTTGAGTGCTTGCTCATGTCCATTCCAACAGAGGAGTGTGCGCATCGCCTGCACCGTTGCAGGACATTTTTCTCCTAGTGGTATCCATCAGGTTGACTCTAGAGTGGCGCCTCCATGGTCCAGTATATAGGCATCTGCCCGTTGCCTCCTCAGTTCCTTCTTTCCGCTCTTATCTCTTGCTCAGCAAGCAATACCCTGTAGTGATCTTCTTCCTGCAAATAAATTGTAAATAAGTGTAAATAGTTAGTTAGAATAAGTTAGTAAGGTAGATAATAGTTAGAATACTTGTAAGCTACTGCTCTGCGGGGCTAGCCTGACCGGTCTCCAGGGCATGCCTCAGTCCCAGGGCTTCAAACAGTGTGTGGCGTGCCGCAAACACATGCCAATAAGTGATCCCCATGACAGTTATTTGAAGTGCCTGGGAGATGGTCACATCCAAGAAAAGTGCCAGATTTTTAAGAATTTCAAACCTAAAACTAAGAAGGCGAGAGACAGTTAGCTGAAATTCCTCCTCATGGAGGCGGTGCTGTGTCCCTCTTTGGAGTGACAACCTGACCCGGCACTGAGTGCTTCTTTGACAAGGAGCACATCGGCATCTATTAGAGAAACCCAGAGTGGCCTGGGTTCCCCAGTACCAACCATCTCCTGGCACCGACACACCTCTCTGGAACCCAAGAAGGCAGCACCGACAGCACGGCACCGCTGTCCATCTCTGGTGCCAAAGAAGAGGACAAAAAAATCAGACTGGGGGCGTTCCCCCATGAGAAAGACCCGCATCGGGCCACTCTGAATCGGTCACAACTCAACTGGGGCCATTGACTCCAGCCCCAGCGGAGGACCTGTCAAGTCTGGTGCCAATGGACTTCCCTCATAGGGTGAGCCACAAGGGGGACACGACCCTAGGAGCACCATCGATGCCAGAGACATGTGAGGAGGTGCAGAGTCTTCTGACCCTCCCAGCACCGCTCTCTCCCCTGGGCTGCGGCCCACAAGGGACAGCTCAGACTCTGCAGGGTCTGGTTCCAAGAAGACAAGCACCATTCTTGGGCAAGCCAGCAATGATGGTGAGGCACCGCCCTCAGTCTCGCTCATCTTCGAGAGGCTCAACACTGTGGTCGTGTTCGCCACAGCCGCATCACTCCTTACCTCAGCTGTAGACACTCCCAGCATCAGTCACAATTGCGGCACAGCTCATGGTCCTGCCACCACTCTGAATTGTGGCACCGCTCCCCAGCATGCCTAGTTGGCAGCCGGTATCAAGTGGAGTGCCCCAGGGGTCGGTCCTGGGGCCGGTTTTGTTCAACATCTTTATTAATGATCTTGATGAAGGGATGGATTGCACCCTCAGCAAGTTCACGAAAGACACTAAGCTGGGGGGAGCAGTAGATAAGCTGGAGGGTAGAGATAGTGTCCAGAGTGACCTAGACAAATTGGAGGATTGGGCCAAAAGAAATCTGATGAGGTTCAACAAGGACAAGTGCAGAGTCCTGCACTTAGGAAGGAAGAATACCATGCACTGCTACAGGCTGGGGACCGACTGGCTAAGCAGCAGTTCTGCAGAAAAGGTCCTGGGGATTACAGTGGATGAGAAGCTGGATATGAGTCAGCAGTGTGCCCTTGTTGCCAAGATGGCCAACGGCATATTGGGCTGCATTAGTAGGAGCTTTGCCAGCAGATCGAGGGAAGTGATTATTCCCCTCTATTCGGCACTGGTGAGGCCACATCTGGAGTATTGTGTCCCGTTTTGGGCCCCCCACTACAGAAGGGATGTGGACAAATTGGAGAGAGTCCAGCGGAGGGCAACAAAAACGATCAGGGGGCTGGGGCACATGACTTACGAGGAGAGACTGAGGGAACTGGGGTTATTTAGTCTGCAGAAGAGAAGAGTGAGGGAGGATTTGATAGCAACCTTCAACTACCCAAAGGGTGGTTCCAAAGAGGATGGAGCTAGGCTGTTCTCAGTGGTGGCAGATGACAGAACAAGAAGCAATGGTCTCAAATTACAGTGGGGGAGGTCTAGGTTGGACATTAGGAAACACTATTTCACTAGGCGGGTGGTGAAGTACTGGAATGGGTTACCTAGGGAGGCGGTGGAATCTCCATCCTTAGAGGTTTTTAAGGCCAGGCTTGACAAAGCCCTGGCTGAGATGATTTAGTTGGTATTGGTCCTGCTTTGAGCAGGGGGTTGGACTAGATGACCACCTGAGGTCTCTTCCAACCCTAATCTTCTATGATTCTACAATCGCCACCCCACTCCCCATCACGGCACTGCTCCCACAGTGGCATCGCTCTCCTTTTCGGCACCATTATTCAGCACCAAAGAGCACAGCACCCCATGATAGCTTAGGAGCAGGTCCTCAGACTCCGAATCACAGGTGGAGTCATACATCTTGTGAGGGAGCAGACTCCGGGCGGACCATACATGCTCTACTGCCATGGCCCCGGGGCTCATTCCGGCAGCATGGCCTCCTAGCCAGTGGCTGATGTGAACCCCTTGGACGACTCACATGGCCCAGGGCTCCCACACTCACACTCAACAGCCTCAGAGACGAGGGCACCCTTGCCGTCCCGGTCGGAGAGGGGTTCCTTTCCCAGGGCAGAAGTCCGAGACTCTCAGGTCACACTTATGGGTGATCCGCTGGCACCGGAGGACGTAAAAGGTCCTGTTGTACTGAAGAAGTTATGACAAAAGTTAAACTAAATTAGAAGATTGCGATTTGGCCCCAGCATCCAATATCTATCACCTGGTAAAATAAAATCCCTCACACCCCACCCAGGACCCCAGGTAAGTAAAACTTGACCCAAGTTTAAGGTGCAAACAAAGTGTTATTTTTGGGGAGGAAGTGAACACAGTTAAGGGGGAGAAACAATAAACAGAGTAAAACAGCACAGTCGTTGGAACCGGTTGGGTCTGAAGCCCGGCTCCCAACTTAATCCTTAGGAAACTATGGGTATCCCTAATTAGAGTCCTTTTTATACTTGCAGGGTGATGGCGATGATTGGCAAGTGGACAGCGGACAGTTGACCATGAACCTAGTCCCTGCAGCGGCTGTTGGGCTCTGGACCTTCCACTGCCTTAAGATGGAGTTTGCAGGAGGAACACGGAACCTGGCTGAAATGGAGCAGATGGTATAGCTCAGGACACGCTCAGGATCCTCCTGGATGGTTTGCAAGTGAGTGATACTGATGATGTTGACTCTCGAAGCGTGCGCAAAGTGGCGGGTTCACAGGCTGCCTCTATGGCAGACAGCCACCATTGCTGGGGACAGCATCCTTATCTATCTATCTATATATAAAACCTCTATGACGCAAAAGTTCTGTAGAGAAGGGCTGTTGTTTAGCCCTATTCAATATGGTGATGCCAACAAGATGGCATCCAAAACCATAAATGTGCATAAGCAGCACACAAACATCATAACATTAACCCATTATAGCATAATGTCAA